GTAGAATGAATATATATGTATAGAGATTTATCAGCTTAGCTCACAGGATAGAGTCCGAGTAGTCCAACAATGGCTGCACCGTGCTGGAGAGGCTAAGAATCCGCAGTTTCTCAGTCCACAAGGCTGGATGTCTCAGTAGTCCCAATCTGGCGCTGAAGGTCTGACGAATTCCAAAAGATCAGCTAGTCTTCAGTCTACAGCAGCAAGACGAACTCACCAGCGAGAGAGAAGGCAAGCAGCAAGAAGCTTGGTGTTCTCCTCTGCCTTGGCCTTTTATATGGGCTGCCATCAGAAGGTAACACCCACATTTAGGGTGTGTCTTCCAGCTTCAGATGATCCAATCAAGAAGATCTCTCTCATTTCAGTTAATCCCAGATCCAGTCAAGTTGACACCCAGGATTAGCCATCACAGCCTCCAACTCACAGAGGTCTGCCTACCTCTGCCTCTTGAGTGATAGGATCAAAGACATGCACTACCATACCCTGCTTTCCACCTTTGTTTTTTGAGACAGTGTCTTTCACTGAACCTGAAGCTCATTGATTTGGTAGGCTGGCTGGATCTGCCTGTCCCCACTGTCCCTTCAAGCATGTACCACCATGTCTGACTTTTTAAAACATGTTTTTTTTTATGACATTTTATTTTGTGTGCACATGTGTGCACATGTGTGCATGTGTGTGTAGGTGTACATGTTCCATGGCATGCATGTAGAGGTCAGAGGACAACTTTTGGGACTCAGTGTATCTGTTCCACCATGTTGGTCTCAGGGATTGAACTCTGGTCATCATGCTTAGTGGCAAGTGACTTTACCCACTGACCCATTTCACCAGCACCATGTCTGGCTTTTTAAGTGAGTTTTGGGGATCTGAACTCAAGTTCCATGCTTACACAGCAGCCTCTTTCCTAACTGAGCTATTTCCTCAGCCCCTTGAGTTGACTTTAGATCTAGAGACATCCAACATATGAGGAAGGCAGACAAGAAAAGACATGTAGTCAACTTATGGGTAAAGGGTCCTGCTGTGAATATTGAGCAATTGCCTATTACAGAGTAGAGAGAAAACTGAGGGGGAAATATTGCAAATTTCTGGGCTACAAGAGACAGGTAGAGACATGGTGAGAAGAAGCTAAGCCCTTGGCACATGGATAAGATGCGGGAAGGGCAGGTGATGTGAACACCATATAGGTGTGAGGATGAGAATGAAAGAATCCTTGGGGCTTTAATGGAGGAGGCAGCAGATCCCACATCTCCGTTGCCTGGCCAGAGGTCTGGAATGCCACATTTTCCCAGGGAGTCAGCAGCAGCAGGAGAATTGAGTTGGAAGGATCAGGGAGATTCTGGTGCCTCAGCCTACCTGTCTATGTTCACTGTTCTGTTTCTAAATTTCTCCAGGTGTTGAAGAGCCATGGACAAGACTACCTTGTTGGGAACAGGCTGAGCAGGGCTGACATTCACCTGGTTGAACTTCTTTACCACATTGAGGAGCTGGATAACGGCATTGTGGCCAGCTTCCCTCTGCTGCAGGTAATGCACCTCAGTCCCTCAGAGGCAGCCCATATTTCCTATCATGAGTGTAATATTTGTATTATTGAACTGGTGGCATCTGTTTTCTAGCCAGATCTCATCTTCACCCTCCCCTCCCCTGAATGGGAAATGATCTTCCAGTCCTGGTCCTGACACATGAAAAGAATCTTGTTATATAAGGAAATTTGACATGGCTGAGTCTGTCTTAGCAGCTCTCTTTCCATCTGTCTCTCACTTAATCTTCTATTAGCAGACACTGCGTGTGTGTGTGTGTGTGTGTGTGTGTGTACATAGCCCCCTACCTGAAACCTCCATTTTATCTCTGACTGTGAGTATTGTTGAGACTGGATGCTGGTTTTCCTGTTCCATTTTGTCATTCTAACTCAGTAACCTGATTTCAACCATCTGAGTTTTTCTCTGTTGATATCTGACAGATACATTGTTCTAACATCTATTGTATGGTAAAGATGAGTCTACAGGATTACAGTGCAAGGAAGAAGATAAGGGTGCTGGAACTGGGTAATGTCTTAAGGACAGATTGGGAAGGAGGAGTTATTGAACTTTATTTTCCACCTCTTACCTCTATTCTCTGGTTCCTAGACTCTGCCCTCATGCTGGTGAGGGGGATAATTTGGTACGTGTAAAGAAGGGACTCAGATTTCCTGGACTGTGCTAATGATGGTGTTAGCTTGGTCTCTACTTTGAGTTTTTATGTTGCAGGCCCTGAGAACCAGAATCAGCAACCTCTCGACGGTGAAGAAGTTTCTGCAGCCTGGAAGCCAGAGGAAGCCTTTCGAGGACGAGAAATTTGTAGAAGAACTAAAAAGGAATTTCTTTTAAGTGAGGCTGGGTATGGGCAAGCACAGCACACACAATCTCTGTCTTCTAGTGTTTCCCAACAATGAAGTGCCTTATGTTGATCCCAATTCTTGTGAGGCTAACAAAGGTTTCCAAACTTTTTATGCTAATTTTGTTAGACATGAACAATGCCCATGTAGTTGTACTGTTGCTGATTTGGTTCTGAACACATTTGAAATCATGATCACCTCCTGAGATACAGCCTTGACTTTAAATAAAGTGGAGAAAAATGTTTAGACTCAGGTCTAGTAAAAAACTTGTCATATGCCAGGTGTCATATAGCTTGTCAAAAACATCAGAAATTTTCATCTGATGCTTTGGCCTCTGCAAAAATGGTATTTTCTAGTGGATTCTGCTACCCTTCTGACTGGTAACCAAAACTAAAATGTAAAGAACCATGTCTCTTCAAATAACATTTCTCTTGTTCACCCATGTTCACTCGTCCAACTTACATATTTATGTCCAGTTTGAAACATTCATTACTCCTGGTATTGGATAAATGATTGTGAATAAGTCAGATATAGTCTCAACCTCATGGAAATTGTTGTAGTGAGAGAAACAAGAAAAAATAGGTTCAAATCCCAGCACCCACATGGAGGCTAACAGCCATCTGTAATTCCAGAAGTTCCAGGGGATCTGACACTTTCTGACCTCCACAGGCATTGTGTAACACTGGTGCACTTACACACATGCAGGCAATACACTCGTATACGTAAAATAAAAATAATAAAATTTTAGAAAAGAATAAATTTGGGGAAAACTTCTTTCAAGTCCTAAACCAGGGATAGCTAACTGGCAACAAAGCAAGATTTTGTAATGCTAACTTAGTGAATTGAGTACTTTCTGGGTACCAGATCTCAATGGACCATTTTAAA